CCCCCCCCCCCCCCCCCCCCGGGGCTGCTGCCTGGCTGTCTCTGACAGTATGGCCAGCACCTGCTCCCTGCTGCTGCTCATCTCCAGCAGTCTGTCTTCTGTTTTCAACTCCTGTGGGCTATTGCCTCTGCTGCATGGCTCCTAGCCCCTCTGCTGAACACTGACAACTGCTGTGCAGGGATGGCCACAGAGGGACAGCTGCATGGAGACCCAGAGAGCCATGTCCTCCACATCCTCCTCATTGAGGCCTGGCCCAACCCATGTTCGCACACCCAAGCCTTCTACCTGGGGTCCCAACTGAAGCCAGGAGGAGATTGGTGATTTTGTGGCCCTCTGTGGGAATACAGAGGTTCAGAGGCAGTTCACACATTGTGGGCACTTGATCATCCATATTTATGAGGCTCTGTCAAGCAGCATGCAGAAGCAAAGGCACTCCTGGACAGCATGGCAGTGCCGCATAAAGATCAAGGCCTTCCAGGCACAGTGGGTGGCAGCTGGTCCAGTCATGCCTGCAATACCATGCCCTTTATGCAGCAGCTGACCAATGTTTTTGCACCCCAGGACCCAGCACGTGTGGCCTGCCGGAGCTCCTGCCCCACTCTGATGCCTCCGGTGGTGACACCTTCCAGGAGGAGGGGCCCTCGGATATTGAGCGCTCCACTCTGCCAGTGCCCCCTCACCAGCTCTGCACCCCCAGACCCCACCACAAGGAGCAGCTGGCCCCGATACTGCTGGGTACCAAAAGCCTCAGCTTCTCCCCAGGGCCCCCTAGCTGAGCACCGGCCCATCACACATTGTGGGCCAAGGACACCGGGCACAGCTGGATGCCTTCACCATTGGGAGACTCCGTGCTGAGCTGCCAGCCTTGCCAGCCCCGCACACATTGTAATTCCCATGGTAGGCGGGGCTCCTGATCCCTGCCCACCCCCCAGCCCCTGCCCCCCCCCCACACCCAGCCCGTCTGCATTCCCCTAGCCCTGGGTTCCCCTCCAAAAGCACGCAGAGAGGTGGGACACAGTTCAAAAGTTTATTCAGCAGTCCATGTCCCTGAAGCTTGGAAGCCACAGGCCTCTCTCACCCTGAGGAAGGTGTCAGTGCTGGCTGTAATATCCTCCTCAGCAGCAAGGGGTAGGGACGTTTAGCGCTGCCACAGGCAGCCCTCCAGGTGGTGGTGGAAGTGAAGTCTGGGCT